AAACCTGATTTCAGCTACCACCCCAAGTGCAAGCATGGTTCTAACCATAAAATATAGTACTTGAGGCCGTGGGAACAAATATTTAGCCCATTTTTTTCGTTTTCCAATGTTACCCTGTCACACACACTGTGTTACCACCCAACATTTGCCAACTGATACAACCACTCCCATAATCTTGTGTGTTAAGATTATGGTCGGCAATGGTAAAAGTAAAGGATGTTCTGGATACAACACTTGAGCTAAGTAAACGGCTGACGTGTTCCGCAAAGCATGCCGCTCAGAGGTCTAGCCAGGATTTTATGCCAGCCGGCCAACGTTCTAGTTAAAATGCATCGTTCTGGGGGCTGCGCCCCCGGACCCCCGCCATCAGTCACGTATCCACACAGACACACAGACACACACCCACACACACCACTACAAATCTTTCATTGCAGCTTGCATCTCCTTTCGCTTCGTCCAATTATGGGCATTCATCAGGCAGTTGTGACAATGTGATTATAGGTAAATTAACAAAATATGAAAAGGAAGCAAACAGCTACATGAGCATGGATCATGTGTTCACCAAGGTCATGTCTGCATGCAGTGTACATTGGTCATCTGACAAGACCCAGCCTAGCCACAGCCGTGTACACCACCAGAAGCAGCGAACCATGACCCAACCTGTTACATTTTACTGACGTACTCAAGTGCATACTCAAGTGCATTTGAGCTGGAGTGAAGAGCTAGCACTGAGCCTGAGTAGCCAGTGCTACGTACTGTACTTTAAATTATACTTATAAAAACCTCCATTGATTGTCATGTAGGATTAGAAGTTTCTATACTTCATACACACCTGTATAAAAAACCTGCCGGCTATAAAAAACCTGTATAAAAAACCTGCCGGCTATAAAAAAACCTGTATAAAAAACCTCTTTTTAGGGGTAGATGAGAACAAGAGATAAGAGTATTCACGAAAACAGTACAAACAGATGCAGAGCAAGATCAGAAGAGCACAAATTGAACTGGAAAGGTTAAATAGTCCACTCAAGAATGGTAAGATGAGAGACACATACATATGATCAAAAGGAGAGAATTGAGCTACTCACTCCTCGTCTTCCTTCTTGGGCCTCTTCTTCCGCTTAAGGCTCAAGCGCTTCTTTGGCTTATCAGGCATGGTTGGCGTGACATTGATTGTGACATTCGACCAAGACGATCCACCTGCACTGAGGAAAGCACCCTGAGGCGAAACACTAGATGCCATGGCTGGTTGTGGTGGCGATACTGTGGAAGACGCTGCAACACATGGTGGAGCACACTCCTTGTGGCATAC